ACGACTCCAGGATGTTTTGAACAAGCCTAGACTCCAGTTTTCCCAACCGCAATGAACCCATATTTATGAACGTCCGGCCCGAGAGAGAGGCATACTTCCTAACCGCAGCAGTAGTGACAAGACGATCCGTGTATGGAGTCAAAGGAGATGCTTTGAGCACTGGATGATTGGAGTCACGAGCAAGTACTTTTGTACGGTTTTCATCGTAAGGAACAAGAAAAGCATGGTAAGGTTCTGGACACGGGTTAAGAGCCATGGAGAATCTGCACACAAGACTAATCACAGCACAAACAAGTACAGAGAGCAAAAAGAGAACAGTACGTTTGAGAGTGCAGGAGAGAAGTGAAACTTGGATAAGTACAAAGAGCCAGATCTGATCTTTAACAAGAACTATGAGGACTTATAGAGCAGCACGAGTTCCAATCCTGACAAGACATTGTGAACAGCCAATAATAAATTCAAACATCCTTCCTAACAGATATGAATGGTTTTGAGCATTGGGCATAACAGACCAAAAACAAAGCCCATTAACGGCCCTTTATCAGCCCAGACACACTAACTGTGTTGCAACCACTCAAGAAGATCACTTGGAGAACTAAGACAGCGTCACACAGTTTCCTCTGAGATCCAAAAATTTTAAATTAAAACAAAACACTAAGAAACATGAGACTGAAAACATCGGAATATGCTCATATATGCACAAATATATACGTAACCACCAACAACAGAACCTGAAACAGAGGCTGCAAGACAGAAAAAGTGGTAAGACTTGCAAGTCATAAGTTGGAAAATGATCAACGCACCAGCTCACTAAGGTAGCTATTTCTCATAGAGGAGCTTTCACACTCAGTGACCAACCCAAAATAGTCTTCACATCAGCATACATGTTCAGACTCTATCAAGAGAGATTCATACATAGAACAGAAAGCCCCTTCCCCACTTGTTTTTCAATTTTGAGCAAGTGACATAACTTGAGTCATGATTTCTTTTCGTTCACCCTTTTTCTGTCTTTTGGTTTCTATTCTTTGATTCTCTTTTCTTTGATTTTTCTTTTTCTTTAATTCTCTTTTGTTTGATTTTTCTTTTTCTTTGATTCACTGAGCCCAACAGAATATAGTAAGAAGAGACAAAAGAGGGAATAGACAACCGTACTGAACATCTATGATGAGTAGCTCTTTTTCTGAGTTGACTTGCCAATGAGAAGTTTTGAGAGGTGATATGTACATGGGGTTAAAAAGCACCTGCAAGTCCAAGCACA